TCCATTCCATTCCAGTCTATTCTATTCTAGGCAGAAGTTGGAATAAAAGAAGTTCAGGGTTCCTTCAAGACCTAAGGCTCTATAAGCTGTTTTATACTGACTGAATATAAAGTATGCTTATCTCTACCAGTATTGTCAATCAACTGGCAGCCACTTTCCAGAGATTTTTTCCCCCTATCTGTCCTGGAGTAGATGGGTTTCCTCTATTTACAAAGATTATGTTTTACTTCTAAGCTATAAATTATGTAGTCTTACTATCTACAAATGCTAGAGTCCAGCCTGATGATGCTATCCATTCAAAGGAAACCAAGGCAACACTGCATTTTAGTTTCCCATTTCCCAGTAGTGGATATTCTGCCATAGGTTGCCAGAGAGAAGCAGAATCTGCTCGCTGCCCAAGAAGCAGAAGGAATGAGCTGCTAGCTGAACCTTATTTCTCCTGGGATGAAATTTGCTTTGAGACTTATTGAAGTATTTATGTCCCATGTCAGATCCAGAACTATGTTTCCACGAGAACACTCTCACAAAATCCTCACTTGGGAGTTAAAATACCCAGAGCATTCGCCATCCAAGTGCTTTGCTTAAGCACCACCATAACTTTCTAGTGAGATTGGTGCCCTACATGAATTTGGTAAGCATGAATATCTTTAGGAGCGAGTTTTTGTTTGTTACCTAAGTTAGGACCCTGCTTTTGACTCATATGGAAGCTAGTGCACATGCAGCTATATTTACAAAAGTGTTTCTCCTGCTGACATTTATGTGCTGAATGTGTGGGGAACCACAGTAGAATGGTATACTTTCAGCAATGCTGGTGCACTTTAAAATATAATAAGTAACCATATAGATAATATTATAACAACATACAAATAAGTTATATAAATAAGTAAATAACTAATATTTTCACAGATGAAAATTGGTGCCATTTCATATAATAAGCACAGCTCAGAGTGTCTGTCCTAGATTGAGACGACATCGGCTCAATCTCATGTCTTCTGTATGCTTAATTCCCTTGAGTCACATCTGAGTATTTTAGTATATTTCTGCCCATCTCAAAAGCAGTGAAAAGATACTGCCTAGATAGATGTACAACATATGGCTTGGGTGGAATATGGTGATGAATGAGTTTATGAGGTTTTCATGGGCTGTGCAGCACACAGAGCTAATGCTGCTTTCTCTAACTCACACACTTATAAATGTGCATAAAGAGGATGTTTCTGAATGCCAAGTGCATTTACAAAAGAGCACTATAAGTAATTGCTTTGCCATCTCTGTCCATGCCATCTCCGGTGCTGGTTAACATTGACTATATATCACATCAGTCATTTCTGTGCTACATTTTGGGTGTAAAATATTTCTCTTACTCTCACTTTTTTGTTTGCCTATAAACTGGACACCATGAAGGCTGTTGATCAGAGAAAATATTTGTCCAATTACTTATAGCTAATGTCCTCTTTTCATTCCTACAAGGCTCCCTTATCCATTGGAAGCATAGAAGAAAGAAAGCTACATTTTTGCCATTCTTCTCCTGAAATTCCATCCATATTGTACTTTCCATACTATTTCAAGGAGCTATTAATTCATGAGTGTAAGGGGAGATCAAGGCTCACACTGACAAGGGAGTAAAGTAATTGGGAAATCAGCTGAAGAAACTTCTTGGATGAGAAGCAAAATGTCTTCAAAGAAAAACAAAGTCCAGTTGCCTCTTTAAAAAGCATGACCTGGACAACCATGACCTGGATTCCTGAGAATCTCCCTAGAAATACACACACACACACACACACACAGAGAGAGAGAGAGAGAGAGAGAGAGAGAGAGAGAGAGAGAGAGAGAGAGAGAGAGAGAGAGAGAGAGAGAGAGAGAGAGAGGGAGAATAGTAATAGATTCAGTTTGATGAGAGGTTAAGAAATCAGGCTGGAAATGGGAGATTGTGAGCCCAAGTCCCACCTTAGTCACAAAGTCAGTCACTGTCTCTCAGACCTCGGAATGAGGCAATGGCAAACCACTGCTGAAATCTTTGCAAGAAAATTGCAGGGATTTGTCCAGGTTGTCACCAAGAGATTAAAATAAAATATAAAAATAAAATAGTAAAATAAAATAAAATAAAATAGTGACAGAATGTTAGCGATAGAACGGAGGAATTTTGCATTCCTCACTTATGCTACAATTATATTTCATGTAATCACTTACATGGAAGAACATTTCCCAGTTAGTTAAATGAGCTCTATAAAAAATAATTCAGACCTGGCAATTGTTTTAATACATTTAAAGTCTTTCCATTTGTTTCATTCTTGGAACAATCCATCAAGCTTAAAAACTCGCCTGTCTTTACTTTTACTTCCTAATCTTATTAAAAAGAGAAGCAAACAGACAGACTGAGAACGAGCAAGGGAAGAGCTGCAGTGCCACGTTATTGCTTTAGTGCACGCTCACTTGCGTTTCAGAGCAGAAAAAGGAGAAGGCTGGCATTAAAGAACCAAGGCCTTAACCATGTCGATTTGAAAATCAGAACAAGATTCACTAAACATGCCTCTAACATTGTAACGCAGCCCTATTACAAACCGCAGTGGGGAGACCTTTCCACAATGTCCTTACTCTCACTGATTTCTCTGAGGATATCAGCACCAGCCATTTTATTTGTGCTTGCTGGGAAAGAAGAGAATAATAATTGAAACGGCAACAGTCAGGTGGTCAGGACATCTGCAAATGTACCAGCCCTAAGGGGAACACAATATCCATGAAATGGTTAGTTGAAGAACAAGTTAGCTTCTAGGGAAAGAGAGAATTCAAGTAGAAGGTTTCTTTCAGGCCAGCTGAATTGATGACTTTGCTGGGTCAATTATTCCCTTTAAACTGATATATCTCCTAACTCTGTAGTTGTAGATGGATCGGCACAGTACCGAATCACCAAAAGCCTAACCTTGTAAAGCATAGATATCACGTTTTGTTTTTTTTTTCTCCCCTCCCTGTATCTATACAACAAAATCTTTTCAGGCAATGGACATCTTTGCATGATTTTACACAGTGTCACAAATGATAGATGGAGATGTAAAGGCAAAGATATGATTTCTCCAGGGAAAAGGGGACCTTTCCAATAATTTATCAGCATCTGTTTTGGCAGTGACATTGGCACTTCTGCTAAAAAGCAAAAAAAAAAAATGTTTTCCCCGTGGGAGGCTGCACAATGTGTGAAAGATGATGGTACAGTAAAAGACAGTTCATTCCTACGTGCCCCATAGCCAAATCGTAATTTAATAAGCAACACTTATTCTTTTGTTGCTGGAGCCGAGGTGGCGCAGCAGTTAGAGTGCAGTACTGCAGGCCACTTTAGCTGACTGTGTTCAGCAGGTCAGCGGTTCAAATCTCACCGGCTCAAGGTTGACTCAGCCTTCCATCCTTCCGGGATAGGTAAAATGAGGACCCAGATTGTTGGGGGCAATGTAAATATATATATATATACATTGCTTACTGGTGTACACCGCTTAGAGAGTGCTTGCACTTAAAGCGGTATATAAGTCTCATAAATAAATAAATAAATAAACACTTCCACCAATTCTCTTTATTGAAACTGAAGGGATACTGGAGAAAAATGCCCAGCACTAGTACACCAATCTGTAACCTCAAATAGCACCCAAATTTTTGTTGTTGTTTGACTATCCACTTGGTGGGCAAGGACGTAGAATTCCAATTTTCCAGTTGTCAGATAAGTTTTTTTTTCCCCATTTTACGACCTTTTTTGCCATAGATGTTAAGCCAATCACTGCGGTCCTTAAATGAACCTGGTTGTCAGACACCAGCTGGGTGGGTTACAAATGGCGGTTACATGACTCCAGATCAGTATAACTGTCTCAAAAATACATACCAGTTGCCAAGCACCCAAATATTGGGTCACGTGACCATGGGGATGCTGCAATAGTTGTAAGTGTAAAAACCGGTCATAAGTCACTCTTTTTAGTAACATTGTAACTTCAAATGGTCACTAAATGAATGACTGTAAATCAAGGACTACCTGTATAGGGATGGGATGAAAATGCTAAACCCCCAAATTTTAAGCATTTGTGAATGGGGAAGGAAGAGAAAGAGAGAGGATGTCATGTCAGGCTAATTTAATCAGTTCCCCAAGTGAACTAAAGTAGGGCCAAATAACTAAACTACTCGTGCAGAAAGTTGTCCTAAGTAGTACAAGTGAATTGCATAGAAGTTGGTCCCAATTCATATATTTTTGGATCTCATGTCAACCAGGGTTAGCAACGCACACAGTATTAGTTATACACTGAGCCGTGGTGACACAGTGGTTAGAGTGCCGTACTGCAAGGTAAACTCGGAGTTTGATCCTGACCAGCTCATGGCTGACTCAACCTTCCATCCTTCCAAGATTGGTGAAATGAGGATCCAGATTGTTGAAACCAAAAGGCAAACAATGCTGAGACTTTAAACTGCTCGGAGAGTGCTATAAAGCATTATGGGGTGGTATATATGTCTATGTGCTATTACTGTTGTGTTCACATAATATCTTAGGCCAGTGCTTTTTTTGTAAAAAAAAAAATACAGGTGCTGTAACTCACACATGTCATACAACCCAACTTGCCTACCCTACAAGGTTCCATCCAAAAAAGGTGCCAGAACTCCATTCTGGGCATTCTATGACAAAAAAAAAAAGTCCTGTCTTAGGCTTAAACAAATAAGCTGTATTATTTCTTGACTGGATGGCAGTACCATAGAGAGAATCATATTTCCTCAGTTCAGCTTATGAACCTATTGGTTCAAGAGTCACATCAAAAACTGCTTCTGAATACAGTTTGATATCCGGATTAGCAGTGATGTATATTTTAGCACAGTGAAATGCTAGATTTCTTCTTGTTGTTGTTGTTGTTTTTTTCATATTCACTGAGGAGCATCATGACTGGCATTTGTGATAAACTTCACAAAAGTTACATTTATGAGATCAAAGACGTGCCAAGGCTTTAAATCCAGTACGAATTAATTAAAACGAGCAAATTTACCTCTGGAAACCTCAAGGTAAGATCTTGACATATCTGCAGTCAGCTCCAACCTAAAGAGGATATTACATTTTTATTTTAAAATCAGGTTGAAATAATTTATCTTGACATCCATGCATTAATGACCTAAGCTTTGCAAAGCCCAAACTACTTGAATAACCAGAGAATTCCCACAGAGATCTTGCTGCGAGGGAAACACTTTGCAAGCTTACCTTCTTCCATCCAAGTGCAAGAAAAGGGCCAGTCATGGATTGTTCCTTTTTGCACTTCAGAACGATATAAGCCTCTTAGTATTTTCATTCTTAGAAATGTACAAATATGGACATTCTTTGATTTAATTTTTTTCTATAAGTTGAAGTATATGCAAGTATTTATTTTAGTGTGCAAATACTATAATAATAATAATAATAATAATAATAATAATAATAATAATAATAATAGTAGTAGTAGTAGTAGTAGTAGTAGTAGTAGTAGTAGTAGTAATGTTGGAAGGGACCTTGGAGGTCATCAAGTCCAACCCCCTGCTCAGGCAGCCATTTCGGACAGATGGCTGTCCAGTCTCTTCTTAAAAACTTCCAGTGTTGGAGCATTCACTGCTTCTGGAGGCAGGTTGTTCCACTGGTTAATTGTTCTAACCATCAGGAAGTTTCTCCTTAATTCTAGGTTGCTTCTCTCCTTGATGAGTTTCCATCCATTGCTTCTTGTCCTGTCCTCAGGCACTTTGGAGAATAGCTTGACTCCCTCTTCTTTGGGGCAGCCCCTGAGATATTGGAACACTGCTATCATGTCTCCCCTTGTCCTTCTCTTCATTAAACTAGACATACCCAATTCCAGCAACTGCTCCTCATATGTTTTAGCCTCCAGTCCCCTAATCATCTTTGTTGCTCTTATCTGTACTCTTTCTAGAGTTTCAGCATCTTTTTTACATTGTGGTGACCAAAACTGGGTGCAAGTGTGGCCTTACCAAGGCATTGTAAAGTGGATTAATACTTCATGTGATCTTGAGTCTATCCCTCTGTTAATGCAGCCCAGCACTGAACTGGCTTTTTTGGCAGCTGCAGCACATTGCTGGCTCATATTTAAGTGATTGTCCACTATAAATACCTACTTTATATTATTACAAGCGTGGGCAATTTTCCATGTAATTCTCAGAAACAGTGTAACTCTTAGATCAATGACATAATGGTGCTTTGCACGAGCGGGCTACTTACTTTCCATGGCCCACGGCCCTTTTTGTGGCACAGGACAACCTTTCTTAGATCACACTAGAATGTATTAATCATAATACTAGATCAAGTTTGTTTTTACTGAAGATTCAAGCAAAAACAGTTGAAGTTTCAACATGCCTGACCAGTGTAGCACCACAGCCACATAACCCAGGAAGCAATGTTCTCTAGTTGTCCACATGAGATATGACAAATTAGATTGCCATTCATGGAAGGCAACATGGTCATTTTCATGGTTGAAACCATCTATCTCTACCAGAACAAAGAAAGTAAAAATGGCTTTCTTAATCCACAAACTGAGTTGAAATAGATCGTTTTGGAGCTCCTTGTAGGATTTAAATTTAGACTTTTGCTTCATGAAAATGTGTTTTTAATTATCTAGTTGGTGATTCTCCAAGTGTAGGATCTGGCGGGGGAGCGGGTGCAGAAGTCCAGGACCTCCACTTAGCAGAACAAAAACAGTGACGTAAATGTACAGGATATCATATTATATAGGGAAGGTTTTTTTAAAAAAAAAAAAGAATTCTTGTTCAATAAGATCACAAAAGACCATCATCTCTAGAGTCCTAAGTTACTCAACCTGCCTGAGGAACAGGTGCATCTCTCTCTTGTATTATGTTCTTCATATATGGCAACAGAAAAGGATAAACCTGGCCTTGTTGCCTAGGCAACACATGGACTTGACCTTTTGCTGTACCAGGCTGTAGCCTGACAGACAAGGTTGGGTGTTATGGAAACTTCTTTTCAAGTGTGAAAAAACAGAGTGAAAAATCAGTGTAATTGAGAATGATCATAGGAGAAATGCATATACAAGTAAACTGGGAAACCTGAAGAGAAACAAGAGCTTTACAACAAGCATTGCTGTAGGAGGTGGAATCCTGAGTGTCTCCTCAAAAGAATTCTTCTCTCAGATTCAGATGTTCAGAGATTTACAGATTAGTTGTAAATCTAGATGGTGTACAGCTTTTATTTGGATTAGGGATCCCATCTTCACTTGGGAATTAGTTCCGAATTGAAGTGTCAGGCTATGAAAAGACCATTCTTACTTTTCAGAAGAATTTATTTAATTCCATTAAACATGGTATACTGATTTCCCAAGAAGCCTATTCATAGTTGCATTCTCAGTGGCGTAAAAGGAAGGAACTCAGAGCTTACATATATCTTGATTTCATAATGTTATTTCTAAGATGGATAGCTTTTAGAGAAAAGCATGGGTAGATTACTAGTGTTTGCAAAACAAAAAACAAAAATTTACGTGCAAAGAACCTTTCACTTTTTGTGGGATCCAAAATTAGTCAGAACCATTCAGCCATTAGGATTTTTAATCACCACAAACTCAATAGCATCTGATTCAGTGGGTCATCTCTAAGCAAGGCTAGATGAGTTCCAATATTTGAGGGGCTACCACAAAGAAGAGGGGGTCACGTTATTCACCAAAGCACCAGAGAGCAGGACAAGAAACAATGATTGGAAACTGATCAAAGAGAGAAGCAACCTGGAATCAAGGAGAAACTTCCTGACAGTGAGGACAATTAACCAGTGAAACAGCTTACCTCCAGAAATCGTGGGCGCTCCATCACTGGAGATTTTCAAGAAGAGGCTAGGTAGTCACTTGTTTGAGATGGTATAGGTTCTCCTGCTTGAGCAGGAGGCTGGACTAGAAGATCTCCAAAGTCCCTTCCAGCTCTATTCTATTCATTTAGCTCTAGCTAAAAGAAACTGCTTAAGAATCAGAAAGGAAAACTCAAATTAAAAACTGGGAACTTATTTTTTTTTTAATTTCAAGTTCACATACCCATTTTTCTCCCAAAATGCAAACATATACATTATTTGAAACAAAAAAAAATGTGTTGCTGTAATGTCTATTGCCAATCTCAGGTGCTGAGACAGGAAAAGGCTTTGGAAAGCTCTATGTGGACTTACCATAAAGTAGGGATGAGTAAGAACTTGGATGAGTCAATTCTGATTAATATTGACAAAATGTTCAATTCTGGCACCATGAACTAAGGTTGGAGAGCCCCTGTCTGAGATGTGGAGGTTGTATTAGCCCACTCGGAGAGCACTGAGCTAAATGAACCAGGGTTAGATTTACAGAGCACACTAAACCCCACTCATTTGTTCTGAATCATTTTAATTTGTAAACTGCGATTTATAGTTTAATCAGATAGGTGACTCTAGAGAATTGCAGCCTGTGCAACAAGCCATTCTTAAACCTTGACTTTGTATGATGCATGAGCACGCATCATAAAGTAGCTTCTCTTCTATGCTTTGCCCTTGGTAATTCATCTTGTTTTCATCCCTTTCCCGCCCAGCATAAAATAGAAATGAGAATTGGATAGGGCATTTCCAATTCAAAACTAAGATTTCCTTAAGATCCTCTCTCTGAGCAGTTAAGGAAAACACACAGAGAGAGAACGAAAGAAAGAAGGAGAAAGAGTGAGCTTTCACATTGCTATTCTCCAGCACAACCTTTGTGTCTAAATGACAGCGAGACAACATTTCCATTGGAGACTGCTGACCCTCAAAAATCTTGCCTGCACTTTTGCATTTTCTGCTATGTAACCTGTCATAAGTCCATATGAGACAGCCGTGGAGAAAGTAAATGAGGATTTGAGGAGCTGTAAATATCCAAAGCTAATGTTTTCAACAGAAGAGTATATATGTAGTTCATTGTGGAACTGTGGAGTCCTTGCTAGTTTCTGAGCTTGGCTGTTTGCCTGCAGATGTTTCATTACCTGACTAATATTTTCAGTGCTAATATTTTTTCACCCCCTGCAATAATGGAGGGCAAATACATCTAGAAAGAATCTTTGTAGAATGAGAGAAATATGAGTGTCTCATATTCTTCTACGCAGTCCTTTCTGTGAGCAAGCCAGACACCAAAAGACAAGTTCACTTATTAAAAGGTTTAAAGGGCGGTTGACAAAATTTTACCTTCATGCATTGCTGAAGGGTACAGCTGCTATTATTTCAGCACAGTGGCAAAACTATGCTCGGAAGCTATACCCATCTCTAAGTGCCTTATGAATAAAAACTATTAGCAAGGAAAAATTGTACATTTCAGCCCATTTTAATAGGGCATGCCACAAAGTCATCTGCTTCTTCCATTTCAGTTTTCCTTATTTATTCACAGGTGCACCCAACTAAGGATATATATAGGAGCAAATACAACAGAGAGGTTTTATAAATAATGGGCTTGGTTAACTAGACTAGATCTCTTCAATAGATTTAATGTGTATAATTTTATGCTATTTTAAATTTACCTACTTATTCATTATAGATAGATAGATAGATAGATAGATAGATAGATAGATAGATAGATAGACAGACAGACAGACAGACAGACAGACAGACAGACAGACAGACAGACATAGACAATCTATTATGTATTTTCTATCAGGCTAGACCATCTTAAGTTATGAAAATTCAGTGGGTAACTTAGGAAGTGGATATTGATCAATTAATAACACAATTGTACACTGTGAGTTGGATTCAAAGTGAAGCTTCTGAAGAATAATAGGGCAAATTAATCCAGGCTAAAACAAGTCACATTAGTTTTGATCAATTTACTCAATGCTTGACAAAAAGGGACCTAATAGGGAACTTTAACTTTCATTGTAAGTAGCTACCTTGAACAGAAATTCTATTTTACTTATTTATTAAACTTATATGCCACCCATCTCACTGTAACAGTGACTCTGGACAGCTTACAATATGATAAAAAATGATAATATAAAATGATTAAAATTAAGAAGATTAAATTAAAAAAAACTAAATACCAAGAGGATGGGTAAGACAGGAGCGGGGATCTTTTCTCTAAC